TTTCGTATTTTACTAGACTCCAAACGAATATCTGCTGCTGCATTTTAGCACCCAGCACCAGAAAAATTGCTCCTTAAATGAGCTTGCATTTTCAAAACAGAGCATGCTTAAATTCTTGTATTGTGCTTGATTGAAAACTAACTTTGGTCATCTGCTTGGTGGGTATCCAACATTTCTTTTGCTTATGGGTAATTGGGTAATTCATACTTCTACCTTTCTTTCCCTTCTCTTCCCTACCCTGCCCTCTCCTGCAAAGAAACATATCAAAGACTCTGAATTTTTCTGGGTCTGACAGAGAGAAGATTACAGTTTTACAAATTACATTTGTTGGGGGGTTGGTTTGGGTTTGGGTTTTTTTGAGAATACAGAGGACAGAAATGCAGTAAATTTTTTAAAACAGAGGGAGATTAAGTAAAATCCACCGTCGGAATGATGGAGCAGTGAAAGAGAGACAGGAATGCATTTAAGTATTATTAATGCCTATTTTAAAAAGGAAGTGGGCTGGAAAATAGAGCTACAAATGTCAGTTCTTTAGAGTGAAATACCAGTGCTTGAAAGAATTAGAAACAAGCCCATTAAAAAGGCAAAACTCAGATGTGGTAACTCTGTCTTCAAACAGCCAAGGAAGGAATCACAGTAAAAGCATCTGAGGTGACTTACTGTGACCCCTCAACACTGTCTTGGAAGCTAATGCTAGTAAATGGATTTTTCTAAACATCCGTATGTGTAAGGTAGTGCTCAGAGGGAGCGTTCGGTATATGCAGTAACTGGTCACTGCGCAACTGCTGCCATGAGTAAGTGCCATGAAGCGTGTTAATGAATCGATACGGCTGGTGAGTAATTGGGCACAGAGTGGTTACAGCAGAGTTGGCAGTTGAATAGTGTTAATCACAGTGATGACTTTAATAGCATTTAATAGACACTTAGCTGAATTCAAAGTCAGATGAGATACTGCTCTTTTTAAAAGCATTTCCAGTGCTATTAGCTTTCTGTCATGAAAAGCCACTAAAATTTCCATTTTTTTGTTGGATGTTGGGAAAAGTGCTTCTCTTGCTTTCTGAATTCTGGAGAGAAGTTGGCTGTCTGCACTGGAAAACCTATTTTCAGTTGATAGCTTAAAGCAGCTGTTTGGGGTTGAAACTTCCCTCCCAGGCAGTCCTTTAAAAACTAACAGAAATGAGCTTCTGCAACAAGTGGCCGAGGAACATAGGTGTTTCTAAATGGCATTGCAGAAAAGGTAACCGGCAAATACCCTCAATCTGTAACGGGCATAAACAGTTAGTTGAGCTGCTTAAAGTCTAAATTAAGATTGCAGCTCCACTTTGTGTAAGTGAGACTTGGTTAAATTACTTGTGTTCTTGTGGATGCAGGTACTTAATGCACAGCACCAGACAAGGTCTATTTCTAGTCTTACAGTACTGAAGTAGCAAGCAAATGCGTTAGGGAGAAGGTGGGGGGATGTTAGCCACAACAGAGCAGATTGCAGATGATTCATATAGAATTTAGCTCTAGTTAAGCCTGAATTAAATTTCCCTGCTTAGTTCTATTACCGTCCCTTCTACAATTGGGCCTGAGCCATCAGACAAAATCCTCCTAGGAAGTAATGGTCCATTCCCCTTTTTGAGGGGCAAACAACTCCTAATGGACAAAACATCATTCAGGAAGGGTTGGAGAGGGAGAAAAGTGAGCTTTCAAATGAGTGCGAACCTTCCCAATCTAAGCTAAGTTATGTATTCTCTCTAAACACGTGTTTGTAGCAGGTCTGATTGCATTTGAATAGTTGTGCTGGAAAGCAATGGGTTTTCTGCCAGGCTAGTCATAACCTTTAAAACTGACAGCACCAAACCCAAGAGGCTGGTCCTCCCTGCTGTCCTAAATCGAGCCATTCAAACAGCCAGCCCTGTTGAGTATTTGTTTAGCAGTGTTGATGGCTCTTAGAGCTAAGACAGCCACTTTCTGCATATGTTTTGGTTGTTTTGGATATATTTATTGGATTTTACTTTATCTAAAGTTGTTTCTGTTTATATCACTCATGTCAGCTGGAAAGTAATCAAATGGAGACACGAGGGAGTGACTGGACCTGAACACCTGTCTCATAAACACCACTTAAAATACTACCTTAAAATGAACTGGTAGGCTTTTCTGATAACCTTATCTCTGAATAGAACAGGAAACCAAAAGCTTACACAGAATCACTTAAACCTTTATTTCGGTGTGACCCATCAGAGCCTGAACGCTCACAAGCCTTCCCCACAAGCTGTTCAGTGTTGCTAGTTTGATGTGTTTTCCAAGCTGTACATGCTGCTGCTGGTGCACACAAAAATAAACAAAAGACAGCTGTGTTGGCAGCATAGAAAATTTAGCAAGATGCAGCTTTGTCAAACAGAAGAGGACAAATCAATAGGAAAAGAAATGTTTTCAAGCTTCTTGGAATGCAAACAATGGAATAAAAAAACCAACCTAGAAGAGTTGGCAGTGCACTGTCAGCTTAAAACCACTGTTTTAAGCAAAAGAATTTGGCTGCTTTGTAATGTCTCTTTATTTTGTTAACAAACTCCTCTCAGTCAGGGTTTCATGTCTTGTTGATATGTGCTTTTTAGTCTGAAGAGAGAAGATATATTTAACTTTCAAAGGAGCTGAATGTATCTGGGTTTTGTGACTAATTAGATTATGATTATTGAATTTTCTCTCAACTGTTAAGCCTGATTACTAATTTGCAGGAGATATTAATATAGCAAGTACAGAACTTATTAATTATTAAATGGTTCTGAATTTCCACGCACAAGAACTTCATCGGTCTTTGCTGATCTAGTGTATCACTTCTTGAAGTTCATTGTCATTCGTGTGGCAGTAGAGTAGGCATGTGGAAGGTTTGTCGCTTTGGCAAATGGAGCTGAAAGGTGTGACCATCACTCCCTGCAGGAAGTGTTCATCCTTTTATCAAAGGAATGGTGTTCGGTTTGGATGTCTAAGGATAAAGAGATAATAGCTAGGAAACTAGGGAGATCCTATGGGGACCTTCTCAGGGCAATTAAATACTATGACTTCCTCTTTTTCATGTTGCCCTTTCTAACTTTGTTAAAAGGCATTCTGCTTAATACTGGATGATTAATGTTGCTTTTTTTTTTTTTTTTTTTTTCCCTCTTTCAGTGTGTTTAATAATAGCAAGATGTTTGGTTGGGGGTTAAAACGTTATACTAGGAAAAAAAAGGCCGGTATGAAGTTTTAACTTTAAGTACTTTTACTTTACTACTTAACTACTTTTAACTTCCTCTTCTGAAAGTCAGTCCTGCTCTGTCGCCTCCTTGTTCTCTTCCCAATTTTCTTTTTCTTCTATCTTTTATGTCTTTTTACATTGTCAGCCCCCCTCCCCAGAATGCTGCTTCTTAGACTGTAAACTCCCTTGGCTGTTAAGTTTAATTGCCACTTTATAATTTTAGTTTCATTTGTGTTCATAGTGAATGTGGTCCAATATTTGGAAGCCTGCAACACCAAGAGTGTAGAAAGTACCATGTCAGCTAGGAAGATAAGAGATTGCAACAACTGTTGTGTCTTTGGGATTGACCAGTATTGGACGTGTAAGAAAATCCTGTTATTTGCATGTTATTCCATAGGAATACTTAAGCTTATTTCAGGTAACAGTAGCTCTCAGCCTGAATGTAGGACTTCAGAAATATTCTTGTCTCTGTATTTCCTTGTTCCTGCAGATTGTTTGTGTTTTCAAACATTTGCACTGTTTAAAGTGTGGGGAGGGAAAGATTGCTTTTTTCAGTTCTCTCTCTTTCTTGCCCTAGTTGACCCAACAGACAGGTTGGTAACTGCAGCATACCACGTGGCTAATCAACCTCTCAGTCAGTGTCGTTCTTCAGTGTCTGCTCTGTACCATAACGTCAATCCTGAGCTTATTTAGTGGTAAGTTAGACCTCTGTAACTACTCCTGCTGACTTAAAAATATGTGTTCTTATCAGTATTAAAACAGTACAAGAGCAGAACTGTTGCTTTAGGCACATTTCTTGCCACTGTGTTGGCTAATGAATCTTGAATGAAAGTAAGAGGGCCAGTGATTTTGAAATAAGAGCTGTTAGCCAAGTGTTGTAGAATCGTAGTCCTTATTTATTTTGTATGCTAATCTGCACTTGTGACCCTGAGCAGAAAAGCTGCAGTACGGCAGGTTTTATAAGCTGTGGCTTAACCAGTTATCTAGTATCTTAAAAATCTTATTTAAGCTGACTGGTTTTGTGCACAGGTCAGAAACCAGTTGTCATTGATCATTAAATGCTATGCATATTGTACATTCATTTACATGGGTTGTTCTAATAGTGCTTGTGTGTATTATGCTACATTACCTTATTTTTTATATATATGTGTGTGTATGTATTGCATGAGGATTAAATGTTGGGTTTTTTGTATTGTCACTTTTGTACTCACACAGTGCCTCATGTATCTATTTGCATATTGCAAGAAGTTGTTTCAAAGCAGTGGTTGGAAACAGGTGGGGATAAAACTCTCCGCTGTAGGATCTGATGTTTCTGAAGTATTAATAAAGTATAGTGATTTGAAGCATTGTTTGTTTCTTAAATGTATTTTTCATTCTAATACTCCCAGTGGCTGGATCCGCAGTGGTCACATTGCACATCTTTGAGTGGTTACCCTGTCACCAAATCTTACCTTCTTCCATAGGGCCTTTCTGGGAAGAGAAGCCAGTGGAAAGGAAACAAATCTTGGGATCACAGAGCATGCTTACTTTAAAAGATGAGGTCACTAAAACCATATTAGAAATGGACTGCATGCCTCTAATTCATTGATTTGATCTAAGTTTTCCTTCGTTCTTTTTACCAGCTAACAACAGTAATAGTGCAGATTAAGTTTGGCGTACTACCTAATGTCTTACAGTAATGTAATAACAATCTGAAAGACCCTGTTGCAGCAGAGATTGTGACAATTTTTTGTTTACTTGCATACTTGTTAATGAAGTGGTCTTTAACTGCTGAAGTGGAAGGATGGACAGTGAATTCTTGGAGTACGTTAGGGTTAATTTACTACAGAACATAGAGGAAGTTTTGAGAAGGATGGTGTCTTTCAAGTATGGCTTGGAAGCTAAACTCATCTGTGTGATTGTTTCTGAAGTGCTGCTGTTCATATCCTCAAGAAAAGAAGATGTAAGGTGGGCAGGACAGAGATAACGGACTCTACAAAAAGCAAGCTTTAACAATCTTGGGGATCTGCAGTATTTTAGGCAGTTTGTCTAAATTCTATTGTATTTATCCTAGTGAAGAAGACACAAATCTAGTAAGAGCCCAGAATGCTGCATCAGAGGGAAGCAGATAAGATATTTCTTCAAATACAAAAACAAGGATAACCATAATCAGTCATAAGGTAGATTCTGCTCAAGATGCTGTGGGCATACTTGAACCTACTTCAGATCAAATCTCAAATTTCTTGAAAACATCTTCCATTTCATGGTTCTAAATGTTTTAGTGGTTTAGCTGTTTGAATTCCAGGGGTGAAAATTCACTTGTAATAATCTCTAGAAAAGTAGCAAATTCTCAGAAAAGTGTAGGTTGGGGATTTGCTTGACTAGGTTTAGCAGCAGTTTCCCAGCCTGTGATTCACTTAGCTCACCAGGGAGCATAAGCAAAAGCCAAGTTCTGCTGTTCTTTTGTGATTATGTAAAGCAACTATGGGAATCCATCATCCAGGTAACTCCATAGTCCAAAGGCAACTGCAGCTACTCTTTGCTGATAACAACACAGAGCTGAACAAAATCACTCCAGTGTTGTGTAGGCATCTTTGGTACTTCCTAACAAAGGATGCTGTCTTCCTATAGACCTGAGCCTGTTCCAGCTGCAGTTGAGAACAGGACTGGACATCGCTATTGTTTCTCCTTGCTGGTGCCCAACATTGGCTTTACTGTCTTCTTTTCATGAGTAGGAGGTGAAATCCAGACGTTGCTGATTCTTGTTGGCTGTGCTATCTTACTCATGAATGTTTTCTTTTTCATCTAGCAGATCTCCAGTAGACCATGTGTTCAACATGGGGCTCATAGCCAACCTTCTGCTCTGTGATATCAGTCATCTGCGGTCTCTGTCACTGGTGGGTTTGAGCAAGAAGCAATCAATAAGCCCATGGAAATGAATGTAAACCTTTGGTTTAAAGCTACATGAAGCTAAATTTAGATGCCATTGATGGGGTTCATGACACAGAAGCATTATCCACCTCAATTGTTTGAGCAAGCAATAACCAATCTTCATATTCTTTTTAACCACCCATTTAGTGTATGTTTCTTTGCGGACAACATGCTGTAAAATCTGTAGCCGCTCATTTCCTAGACTGTAGAAAGTAATGAAATAACAGTGGTGATGAGGCAGATGTTTCTGTTTCAGCCTGAATTAGTGACTGTTACAACACAGATGAGGGCTATTTAATTCTTGTACAGCTGCTCAGTTTACCTTGACTCGTATTTGTTGGTTTCATCCAGGTTCTATAGGAAACTTTACGGGGGGTTGCTATGCAGGAATTAATTCTTTAGCTCTACCAGATCAGTCTGGAAATGCCTGTCCTCTACACCTGGGAAAAGGAGTGAGCAGAAGTGCTTCTTCAGAGACTAGGAGAACTGTAAGAATTATGGGCTCTCCTCTAGTAATGCAGACTTCATCTGTCTCTGCTCTTTGGCGAGGGCTAGACAAAACATTTTCTGCATCTAGATCAAGTTTGCTATTCAAGTAGCACTAATGTAGATTACAGGCTTTCATGTTACTGTCTGTTTTTTGGTTTTTTTTAAGAAATCAAGCATGACCTTGAATATGTCATGCAGAAAATTGCTTGTAAATTATGTGTAGAGATTGTAATGGGTATTTACCTATTTCACCAAACTGATAATGCAGTTTTGCATATGTAACTGTGCAGGTGTCTTACAGTCGACATCCCTTATATAAAACAAAACTTGTTTTTTTCAAAGTGTTAAGCTGTTCTTGAACTTTTTTTTTTTGCATATTTAACAAAATCTGTTACCTGTTGCACTACAAATAATTATTAATATTTTGTTAGGTGCTTTTTGATACTTGCATTTTGGTGGTGTGGGTTGTTTTTTTTTTTACTGGAGTAAAAATGTTTTGAAATTTCGGTTTGCCACATTCTTATGTTGTTATGTTGAGCTGTTTGGAGGGAATTGTAAGTTCTCATTAGAATGAGAAAATATGTAAATGTTTAAATGGTGCAGCTGTTATCTAGCCTTGAAATAGAAGTAGCTCTTGGAAAGAAATATTTTCAACATGCCTTGACAAACATAAACCTGCTCATTTTATACAAGAGTTCATTGTACGCTTGAGGCATATAGTAAGGCAAAACCAATTCTTTTGCATAGCCTAAAAGAAAAAAATGTAGCTATGTTGTGGTGGGCCAGACTAGCTAACAGTACTTCAATCTGCAGTTTCATGATGTTCTCTTTTCCCTGAAAAAGACTGCAGAAACAATAGAAAAGAGACTTACTTCCCACATCATATTCTAGGCTGTAGAGTAAGCACTTCCAGGAAAGAGCCTGTGACCTCCTGCTACCCAGCCTGATTTTTCTGCGTCGACCTTCGGCTTCCAAGCCCTTGCACACGTCAGGAGACTTCTCTCACCAGGTAAGGCAGGAGGGTCTCGGTATGGAAAAGGCAAATTGTCCTACAGGTGTCTGAATGCTCCTCAGGGCTTTGTCTTTCTACCCCTAGAGGGCTCCCTCTTTCCTTTGGCCAAAGCAAACCAAATAGCAATAGGAAAAGATACGTAATGTCGCCCATTGCCACAAATTGTTCAAAAGAGCACTCTGCATGCTCTGTCATTCCAATAATATTGTCATCTTGCAGGTAGGCACTGGAAAGCTGAGGGGGAAATTTTTTATGCATGATAATACCTCCCTTCCTTCCCTGTATCTTTTAAGAAATTGCAGTGTTTCTGGCACTAATCCTGGGTTTTGCTTTTTACTGGTTAAAAGTCAAGTAGTTGGTTCAGGCCAGGGTACATTATCTCTGATAATGGCGAACAGTAGTAATTTGGGGAGAGTCAAAGAGCCTTTTAAATGAGAGGCAGGAAAGAAGTCATGCATATAAAGAGTGGGACTAAACAAGTATAGGCTACAATAATACTCCTTTTTGCATCTCTTAGTCAAGATTAAAAAAATCTGAAGCCTTGTTTCTCTTTTATATAAGACCTAAAAGGTGTTTTTCTGTGTATTTATCAGGCTACAAGAGATACCTCTCTTGTAGTCTACAGCCCCATTCCTTTACGAAACCAAGTTCTGGTGTCAGTGTGGGGAAAGGAAAAATATTTTAACAATGACCAGAAGACACATCAGGCTTTCTGTATAATTAATTGTAGTCGTTTAAAATCTTGTGCAAAGTCTATGCTTCGAGAAGTTCTAAGTTATAATTAAGCTGAGCTGCTAATGATGGATCTAATTGTTGGGTTACAGACAGGCGCAGGTAACACGAGTTGGGCCACTGACATCAGGTATTTCACCCAATTGCTTTCTGTTGATGCAGCTAATACTACACAGCTGTTTCAGCAGCTGGAATGGCCAGCATGGGGTGAAGTGTGGACACGTGTCCAGAGTTTTCCCTGACAGGCTTAGCTGGCCAAATGTCTTTGGTCTCTGAAGGTTACTGTGTCCTTCATGTTGGCTCTCCAAGGACTCCCTAGAGCACGGCTGCTTTAGCCCTGCTCCCGCTGAACCCCTGCTGTGGAGGTACCTGGGATGGGAGAATTAATTAAATGCTGAAATGACTCTGCCATTCGGTAGAGTCCTATCGGTCTGAAGTCTACTATCTTTCCAAAGAAATGAAACGTTGCAGTTGAGGCAAAGGTCAAATTCAACAGTGTAGGCAGGCTTTGCTCTCACATTGGTGAGTCTGCTTTTAAAAACAAAAACTAATCCTCTCCTTCTCTCTGTCCCATCCGTCAATGGATTTTCATCTCTTCAAAATGTTGGAAATATCAAATCATACATGGACAGACCTTTCTGCTTACTACAGATCTAAAGCTGATTGCATGTACTGGGGATGGATGAGGACACAAAAGTAAACATCAGACCCTAGACATTCAGTATTACAGTTACATTCAAAGTCTAAATACAGTGTGTTTGGAAGCTACCAGTTGAACTGTTGAAACAATGTTCCTGCTACACAGTGCGGTGTATACTAACCAGAAGATTATGAGGAAAGCATTTAAAGTGCTTGGTTTTCGACTGACGTTAAAACCTTGGAAAAATAGCTTAATCTAGTTTTTTTCCCCCACCCATTATGTTCTTCCCCCTGGAAATGTTTATAAGGCTGGTTTTTGCCTTGATTTTAGCATCTCAATTTGTGTCTTGGTTTTGTCTGCCTTCTAAGGTAAAGAAATTATGGATCTCTATTTGCAGTCTTAAGCCCCTTTGTAACTGGTGGCTTTTACTTTTTTTTATTTGGTAATGCTAGCAAGAAACTGGGAAGTGGCTATTTTCTGCAGGGTAAAAGAGAGGGGATCCAAGCAATTTAGTATTTTTTACTTTGAAGTAGTTCAAGGAAAGGTTAATGAATAAATCCTAATACAAATACTCATGAAAACTGTTCATTTCTTCCCCTTACTAATAATCACCTTTTGTAATGGGAAGATATGTTGCAAAGGCCTGCCCCTACCATTAGAAAATTGTCTTCTAATTTTTTCTTGTTAATGAAATGTTAAGTCAGTGAGCTATTCCCAAACAGCAGTCGGCCAAGCCAGGATGTGCATTAGCAGGCTAATGGCTGAGGGCCGTGTGTCTCATGGCAGTCCTCTGGGAGTTGGCTCCATCACTGGCAGCACTTAGTGCCGGCCCTGCCAAAGCACTTCTGGTGCTCCCATCGCCCCCTCCGGGAGACTGCTCCATTGACGCATAGATCTCGCTGTCAGGAAGGCTTTCTTCTCCTTCAGTCTTACTGGTCTCAGTTCCAATATATGTAACTGTAACTTCTTTGACTACTCTTTAATGAAAAGTAAAAAAAGGCAAAAAGCCATCACACTTGTATGAAAAAATTGAAACTAGTCTGTTTTTCAGTCTTCACTGTAAAACTTACAGAACTTGGGTTTTTAGTTAAATGCTGCCTGCGTACATTTTGGGCTGATGGCAGCAGGGTCTGGAAGTTGGCTAGCGTAATCCACTCATAAAAA